CCTTGGGTCATCAATCCATAGTCAAGCGCATTTGCAAATTTTGCCTCACTGGTACGTTGCCAGGACAGTATGCCATGGGTTTGCCTTTGCTGACCACGCCTGGCTCGCCACAGCAAGCCTACACCACGCAGCTGCCCTACGGCAGCCCAGGCCATGGCGAAGGAAGTTCGTGGTTTGGGAAGCTCGTCCGTAGATGTCATTTGCAAGGGGAGTCTCGCGTGTTTCCGCCATTGCTATTAGGTTGGAGGCCATCGTTTGGTGGGTTGATACACGTGTTTACTCTCTCGAGGCTTGTTTCCGCCATTTGCTTTTGGAATTCAACTATGCTGGAGTCCCAAAAGGATGCTCCCTCCGGTGCCAGATGACCAATATCCGAGTCCATCCGGCTGGGACCAGAAAAACACATGGGGAGTGAATTAAAGCGTTCTGGTAGCTGGCACATATGCAACAGCATAGATGTATATAATTGAAGTATGCATAAGTATGCCATGATATTAAATGGTACACTTTTGTTCTTCTTCACGACACCTCTCCCCTTCCCGTGTGTTTCAGGCTCCCGCGCCTTTGCCACGACCCTCCCGGCCACCTACACCGCGGCACCCGCGCCGACCTCTGGGGGCTCGGTGCGGCTGACGGCGCCCGCAGTGACGGCTGCTCGGGCCACAGTTTAGGCCGAGTTCGACGCGATCGACATCGAACTGATGAGTCGAAGGGGGGTAGCTTCTTGTTACTACTAGTAACAAGTGCCACGCTAGTAGTAACAGGTGCCCTACTAGTAGTAACAAAAAAGCTATTAGAATTAATTTTAAGGCACCTGTTACTACTAGCGAGGCACTTGTAATTACTAGCAAAGGAATCTAGGGAGAAAACCGGTGTAAATGCTTGGTGCTGGCACTGTGCATGGGGTTTGCTCCATAATTACCTTCCCCTTTGGAAGAAAAGTGTGAGGTGGCCCAGAGAGGGGTCGCGTCAAAGCTTCATGTGAGATCCGGAAAGGTGAAATGATAGAAAAGTGTATTTGGTCTATTGGAATAGGATGATGTTGTTGTGAAACTCCCTATGGCCGGCCATGTGATTGAGGATGAGTTTCCTCCCAAACAGGGGTTGACCACACTTCCCACCAGTCTTGTTGGCCAGGGCGCGAGGGAAGTCCAAACAATCCACTGTATCAACCCAATGTTTTGACTGTTCAATTCTGCTTTGGCATTTCAACAGGTACTGTACTTTTCGATGTTATTCATCAAAGTTGTTGTCTTTTCAATGTTTATTTGACCAGTGCAGCTATGTAATGAAATGGCTTACTTCTGTCTTTCTTCCTTTCTTCATTTCTTCCTTTCTTCCTTCCTTTCTTGCTTTCTTTATTTTTCTGTCTTTCTTTCTGTCTGTCTGTCTGCCTGCCTGCCTGTCGTCTGTCTGTCTGTCTGCCTGCCTGCCTGTCTGTCTGCCTGCCTGGCTGCCTGTCTGTCGTCTGTCTGTCTGTCTGTCTGTCTGGCTGGCTGGCTGGCTGGCTGGCTGGCTGGCTGTCTGTCTGTCTGTCTTTCTCACACATATATGCATATATGTATATATGCATATAGAGGCAGAACTGCCCAGTGGGCTTTTGCTTTTCGGGGAGTATGCCTATGACTATCTCACGTGGCATGGCACGCTCAAATTTTCCCTGCATTCGAGCATGTAGGAACCAGACTTGACAACGCTGACATGCACTTCACATCAGTGACCCATCCCAAGATTCCAGGGAGATAAAGTGTTGATTCAACAACTTCCTTTTCTTTCTCCCGAATGCGTAGCAAAGGGCTCTCGTTCAACTCTGGGGGTCTGGGGGTAGAGCCTTGTTCGCGACTCGTTGTCGCAGCGCTTGCAACCGTTGTCAGCCGTTCGCAACCGTTCGCGGGTGGGGCGCTATGGCGCTGACATTGGGCGAAGCTTTTGGAGAGGGTTTTGGATGGAAGCATGATGTGTTAGATCCGTGTGACATAGCGAGGAAATGTGTGGAAACGTCAGATGTTGAAGCGTGGAGCATGATTTCCCCGCGCAGGTGCAGCGGTTTGTGAGATTCGCAGTTTTCTTCGCAGTCAGATTGGGATTGGCGTTTAGAGGGTGGTGTTTTTGGGTTTTTGATATGGCTGTGACATTGGGATTTGCGCTTCAGGCTGTTGCTTCGAAGCTGTGTTTTCGTGACCGGTCTCAGCTAAAGCTGCGATTTTGATGGGTGGAGTTTGCTCAGAACGTGTCGAAATCATTCCGGTGGTGCAAATTTTGATGAAGCTCATATGATATGATATTGTAACTTTTCACTTTTCGTGGCAGGCGCAGTACTTTGTAGGGAATTGTGAGGTTGTGAGGTGTGGCGGCGGTGACATTTCGTGGCAGGCACAGAACTTTGTGTGTGTGTTGGTGTGGACGTGCAAATTTTCGTGGCAGGCACGCGGAATCGTGAGGTTGCAAGTTGTGTTGGAGGTGAATGTCGCTGTGACATTGGGATTGGCGTGTAGTGTGTTGGAGGGGGTGGGAATAGCGAAACTGCTTGGCAGGGCTGCTTAATGTGTGTGCTCCGATAAGGCTTCCCGCTTGACTTTTGGAGGAAGTCTTGTACGAAATGCTCGTTTTGGAGACTTTGACACGTGAGTTTTCGAGGAAGTCTCGTAAATGCGCTCGTTTTGCAGACTTGAAGTGTGAGTTTTTGAGGAATTCTCGACGCTTGTTTTGGAGACTTGAGTCAATTTTGGGAGAAGTCTCGTACGAAATGCTCGTTTTGCAGACTTGACGTGTGACTTGGGAGTGGGTCTCGAAAGAAACGCTTGTTTTGGAGACGTGACGGTGTCCTCCTCCGGCGGCTTGTAGAGTGTCCCCACAAGAGTGTCTGACAAGAATGTCCGACAAGAGTGTTCTACAAGAGTGTTTCGCAAGGGTGTCCCACAAGGGTATCTGAGTGTCCCAAAAGAGTGACCCACAAGGGTGTCTTACAAGAGTGTTCCGCAAGAGTGGGGCACAAGAGTGTCTTGCAAGAGTGCTCGACAAGAGTGCCCTACAAGAGTGTTCCACAAAAGTGTCCCGTAAGAGTGTCCCGCAAGAGTGTCCTACAAGGGTGTCCCACAAGGCTTTCCTACAAGAGTGTCCCACACCAGTGAGTGTCATACAAGAGTGTCTCACAAGAGTTTTCCACAAGAGTGCCCTGCCAGAGTGTGCCACAAGAGTGACCTACAAGAGTGTCCCACAAGAGTGTCCTACAAGAGTGACATGCAAGAGTGTCCGACAAGAGTGGCCCACAAGAGTGTTCCACAAGAGTGCGACAAGAGTGTCCTACAAGAGTGTCCCACAAGGGTTTTCCACAAGAGTGTCCCACAAGAGTATCACACGAGAGTGTCCGA